ACACTAATTTTAAAAATCTCATTTTTTGTCGATGAAAATGGCTTTGTGCATGGTGTACGGTAGTCCTTTATTTTATTCTGACTTTTCGGCTTCTGACACAAAAGCCATTATCAGATAAGTGTCTTCAAATCAATGCATAGGCAGAAAACGTGAGGAGAAACCGAGCTTGTCACATAGCTGCCGTCGACTCTGTCGGATGACATGAAAATAGAGATCAGCACCCCTACCGTTAACTTCAGGAAAACAAACGTGTGGAACTTGTCCCATCATGCAAGGAAGACTGACATTTCAACTATTGCTTTCCTCGCCTTCCAAGGCGAAATGCATCCCCTGGTAGCGTTTGCATCGGACAGCATGGCAACAATATCTCGTCCATTCGGGCACAACAAGACCAGACTACAATACTGTCCCTTTTTTCAGAAATCGCCGACTTACTGCCTGTTTCTTTTGTGGTTGTGTCGAAGCAACGTACGTTTAATTCCTTATTCAAAAGAATTCACGGACAAGATTAAGGTTGTACCCTCAGCGGATTTGAACTTCGCACATGGGGTTCAAGGCCGACCTCATGCCCCTGCACCGCCACGCCTTAGAGCGTTTAAAACCCAGTTTTAGATGAACACTAGACGCTGTTCCTAAAATTGGAAACTCCGGACCACTGTTCCACCTGGTCGTAGTAAGCACTTCTGCGTGCAAACTAACTGAAAGAAGTGCGTTTGATGCCATGATAAAGCTTCTTACGAACAGTGCAAGTTTCGTTGTAGTCATACATCGGTACTGGAGCATCAGAAAATACACTGTTTTCTTCGTATGACATTTATATGACGAGGAAGCTCTGGCTCAGATGCCAGTTGATCTTTACCGATGGCAACACAAGCACTCATCCTACGAAGGACCTAAAGCAACGCTCACACGATTCAATACCTAAAAAAGGTGAGATAAGCTATTAGGGCTCAGACGAAAACACTTAAATGCCCATACGTGTGACGCTGACCGACTAAATGACAGAAATTGGACAATGTTAAGCTTCAGTAACAAAGTGTGCAATAATTTCTCATCTGCTGGTTCAAAAGCCAAGTCACCTGAAACGCGTGTGATTTGTTAGAAAAGGAGACAGATAGTAGGAACAAAATGAACGGATATGAAAATGGAGCATACGAGCCATCGCACGAGATCTTGATTCTATTACTCCCGTCTGCGCCCGTTTTTGGAAGCCATACCACCGGCCGAAATGTTCTGTTCATTGCCATCCTCGGTGCTGTGCTTCAGTATTTGTTTCTTTAGTTGACCAAAAACTGTGAGGACGTTTTCGAACTCGCTAAATGTTTCGCAAGAGCTTCATCCCTGTCTCTGTTTGTTCTGCTGCTGTGTCAATAAGAGTTGTCGATCTGACGTAAACAAGTTTACTTGGGTTCGTAGTTCGCATTTGGTTTTGTACCATTACATGCCATG